TACACATTTTATACAACATGACTGGAATGCTCAGTACATGGTAATCTTTTCATTCTGAAGCTTTGTGTCTTTTTTTGATCGTAGGCAATTACTAGGTATCATTTCTTTGACAATTGGCTCCTGCACATTAGCTCTATATTCTCCTCTACAAGCTCCGATTAAGTACTCATTCTTAGTTGTTGTCAGGTTGATTCCAACACACAGTAACTCTGTAGGACAGAGTAGAACTTGCCCGTAGCATTTCTAAAGCTGTCATCTTTATGGAAGCAGGCTGCCACATCTTTCTCCTATGGAGTGGCTAGTGGATTCAAACTGCCAACCTTTTGGCGAGCAGCTGAGTACTTAGCCACTGAATTACCAGGGCTCCTGTCATGTGTTGAATTGTGCCCCCCAAAATATGTGTCAACTTGGCCAGGCCATAATTCTCAGTGGTTTGGCAGTTATGTAATGATGGAATTTGGCAGTTATGTAATGGTGTAATCATCCTCCATGATGTGATCTGAAGTGATCAGCCAATTAGTTGTAAGGGGATTAGGTCACAGTCTTACTCAGGTCACAGCCTGATATGATGGAAGGGGACTTTTCCCGGGATGTGGCACGCATCCCCTTTTATCTTACAAAAGATAAAAGGACAAAAAGCAAGCAGATAAAGGGGGACATGACTACCACCAAGAAAAAAGAGCCAGAGTGGAATGTGTCATTTGAACCCAGGGTCCCTGCACTGAGAACATCCTAGACCCAGAAGAAGACTGATACCAAGATACATGGAAATCTCCAAGGAATTCTGGGAAATTCAATAGAAGTTGAAAGGAGATAAGGACCTTTCCCTAGAGCCTACATAAAGAGAAAGGCTTTCCCTAAGGCTGGTGCCCTGAATCCAGACATTTAGAAAATGAGAAAATATATTTCTGTTTGTTAAATCCATCCACTTGTGGTATTTCTGTTATAGCAGCACTAGCCCTAGACACCTAAGACAGCTCCTTTTCTATTAGGTAGGGTCTTAATGTCCTGTTGTTGTTGTTGTTATGTGCCATCGAGTCAGCCCTGACTCATAGCGACCCCTCCTTGGGTTTCCGAGGCAGTATCACTACGGAAGTAGGATTGCCCAACCTTCCTTCCGACTTAATGTCCTAGGGCTGCCATAATAAAATACCACAAAGTGGATGGTTTTAAAGAACAGGATTTATTTTCTAATAGTTGCTATGATGTTAGAAGTCTCAATTTATGGAGTTGGTAGGACTATGGTCTAGGGGAAGATCCTTTCCTGTCTCATTTAGCTTCTAGTAGCCCTGAGTTTCTTGGCATTCCTTGTCTTGTAGTTGGATCCTCATATGGCATCTTCACCCTGTGTGTGACTCTGTTTCCATGGCTTTTCTCCCCTTTCATATGACACCAGTCTTATAGGGTTAGGATCAACCCTTCTCTGGTATGACCTTGTTAATTTGACTGAAAGCATCTGTGAAGAAAAACCCTACTTCTTCAAATAATGTCACATTTACAGGTACAGTGGTTAAGACTTCAACAGATCTTTTTTGGGGACACAAGGTATATATTGATATATATATTGGTAAATCTATAGCTATTCTTCATGACTTTTTCTTTTAAAAATTCTCTTCATCCCTTTCTTCTCGATTGTCTGAAATAATTCATTAGCCCCTATCTTCCTAGCTCACTAATTTGCTAGTTTCTCTCATTCTGCTACTAAGCAATCTATAAAGTTCTTAATGACAAAAACTGTATTTTTTCTTTTCCAAGATCTCCTTTTTGGTAGGAGCTCTGGTAGCGTAGTGCCTAAGGCATTTGATTGCTAACCAGAAGGCTGGCTGTTCAAATCCACCAGCCACTCCTGGGAAGGAAGGTTGGGCAATCTACTTCCGAAGTGATACTGCCTCGGAAACCCAAGGAGGGGTCGCCTGAGTCGGGTCTGACTTGACGGCACATAACAACAACAACCACCTTTTTGGTAGTTTTATAAGAATCAATATTCTGTTCTTGTTTCATGAATGCAGTACCATTGTTTATTTCTCTAAGGACATAAACTAGTCTTGTAAAGTTCAGTTTTAAAGTCCTCTATGCTATAAATTTTTCTTGCTCTTACCTCTCTCAGTATCAGTAGTCCTCATACATCTAGTCATTCCTGATTGTGAACTCATCCCATCTATCTTATCCTGTGCAGCCAGCCTGGTGTGAGGGGCTGAAACAAATGTTTCAGGGGGAGATTGTGCTCCTGTTTTCAGTGAGAATGAGGGAGTGGGCAGAGCACTGTGTTTGGCTATACGTCACAACAGCTCATCTTCAGAGTTAATCTGGTTCCTTTCTGCCTGGACATCATCAGCTACCTGGGGCCCTTCTCTGTTTCTTCATCCTAAGCACTGACTCAGTAGGTAGAAATGAGAAAGAGAAGTGCACAGGATTTATAAGGGCAAATGCTTCCAATACTATTGTATTGCACAGCAAGACACTAGTTGGCTATTTCCAGCCCTCTCTTATGTTAGGGTTCCAGCTCTTGCAGACATGGAGCCTTCAAGATGATGTACTCATGTCCTAGTCTATTCTTTTCTCTTGCCTCTCTCATCTCCACTTGTCAATATTTCAGTAGTTCCTTGAAGCTTCTAGTCCTTTAAGAAGTCACTGTCTTATTTTTGGTTATAGCTAGAGATTCATGTGTTTCATTATCAGTTCTATAATTCCCAAGATTTGGTGCAGTGGAGGGAATCTACAGCATGCACTTTCTCACCATGCATTTTTCCCTTAAACTGAGGCTCCTACAGAATATATATAAGAATACAGAAATTAGTGAAAACGCTGAAGATTTTATGGTCCTTATTTGATAAGCTAAGGAGCTCTGGTGGTGCAGTGCCTAAGGCATTTGACTGCAACCAGAAGGTTGGTGGTTCAAACTCACCAGCCACACTGTGGAAGGAAGATGGGACAATCTATTTCCTTAAAGATTTCACCACCTTGGAAACCCAATGGGTGTCACTATGAGTCAGCATTGACTTGATGGCAGCAAGTGTGTTTGTTTGGTTTATTTGATATGCTGGTCATTTCTCTTTTTGCTCTTAGATCCAATTTCCATCCTTCCCTTCTCTGACTCTGTATCACAAGAAACTAAATTGCCTGACTCTTTTAACTACTGGATTCTGGATAAGTTCAACAAGGTGAGGCACTGGTAGAAGACTGCAAGGTGGAATGAGGATAGAAACCAGGGCTCCCTCGACCCTTGAATGAAGTCACAGATAGCACCTGTGGTCTACAGGACTTTTGCTCCTATCAGAGAGCACTCATTCTGGTGCTCTTGCTAGTCAGCTCCAGCTTGGAGGCTTTCGTAACATTATCTTCTCCCATTATCTCTCTAGCTGTAGGAATGCAGGAGGTTCCTGCTGTTATTGATCTCTGGGGTGCTGCATCATTCTGTTTAGCTTCTCAGCAATACCATCTCTTATGTAACCAATTCCCTATATTAAATTATTTTGTTGAAAGGTCTAGGGTGGTTTTGTTTTGCTGGTTGGACTCTAACACGGAGACTAAAATTCTAAACTGAGATCTTCAAAGATAATAATTGCTAAGCTCTCTCTCTCTCTTTTTTTTTGGTGGGAGAGGGAACACCATAGTGAAGGAATTCTCACTTTGAGTTTCTCAATATCTAAGGTATCCCAAATTATTTCAAGGAATGACATGAAATTCTAAAAAATGTAATTTTGGCAATATATTTCACATTAATTGAAAATATGCCACAAAGCAGTTTTTTTGAAGGAAAGTCATAGGGGACTATCATATTATTAAACACAATGTCCTAGAATTAAAGGAGCTCTGGTGGTACAGCAGTTAAGTGCTCAGTTGCTAACCAAAAGTTTAGAGGTTTGAACCCATCACCTGCTCCATGGGAGAAAGATGAGACAGTCTGCTTCTGTAAAGATTTTTAGCCTTGGAAACCCTATATGGCAGTTCTACTCTATCCTACAGGTTGCCATGAGCTGGAATCAACTTCATGGCAATTTTTTTTTTTTTTTTTTTTGCTTTTTTTTTGAGGATATCCTATAGGAATGAGCCAAAAAAAACCAAGCTCACTGACGTCGAGTCGAATCCGACTCATAGCAACTCCTCCTTGGGTTTCCAAGGCGGAGCTTCAGATATAACATAAGCCTTGTTCAAGACTTCTCAAGCTCTAGAGCTACCTCTGGGGCAGCCATAAAACAGTTTAAAGAAAACTACTTTTATTGTTACTACTATTTACCATTTTCTCTGCCAAGGAAGGGCAAGATGAAATGGCAGGAGGCTTTCAAAAAAATCTTGTGTAACTCAATTCCTTATTTGAAAATAGAAAATACTACTGCCTTTTAAGTCTAGTCCATTATTACCACTCTACAAATGTTTACTATGCAGCACAGAAATAAGAAAGCCCACTAGTGTGGCTCATGATCAGAGAGAGAATGAAAGCTACACTGTGCCACTGATACACCATATGGCTGCAAATCTAAAGGCTCTGAAAGATGCCGCATTTGTATAAATCCCTGAATACCTGCTTTCATTCCCATTTCAAGTGTTTGAACTATACTATATGGGCCATCTATTTATTAGAGGAAAGAGCTTACTTTGGCATGGGATAAATTGGTGCTTACAGCAAGTTGCTGTTCAATACAAAGGACGTTTCTTGAATTCTTTTCAAATCTGAGATTCACAGTTTAAGAGTGTTTGGTGTACGTGTTTTAAAATTGCATGACTATTATACAATCTCTTTTCTTAGCTGGCATGAGAAGGATATTCCCATCTTCTCTATGCTCTGTTCTTTACTTCCTCAAAGCTGAGGCGGCAGAAACACTGCCAGCCTTATCCAGCTTTTCATGGAAAGCTGCCACCCTTAACTGGCGCCTCAATGCAATTTCAGACTGTCCCAGGAGACATTCATGCTTTGAGGTGAATTTATAACATTAGGGCCAACAAAGAAGTTAACACAAACTTGCACTGTTAGAGAGAAAAAAAAAAGTTTGCAGGCTTACTGAAGGACCTCTGCTTCCGTAAGTGCCTCTGTCCTTTGCTCCCCAGTGATAATGGCTAGTTCATCCTTCAGTTCCTGTATTTCCTTCTGTAAACGTATAATCATCTACAAATGGCAAGGTGGGAGAGTAAATATTAACTTGTCATTAAGGTAAACTTGGAGATAGAGAACATATATCTTTTGAAATTATAAAATATTTTAAGAATACAAAAATGGCTAGAGAATGATATAAAAAGCATTCCCATATCTACCACCCAGCTTTGTAAAATCTTAATATTTTGCCAAAATAGTTCTAGAATCTTTTTTTTTCTTTTTAAATAGCAAACACAACATTACTGATGTAACTGGAATCCTCTTGTGTAACTCTACAATCCCATTCCCCTTCCATCCTTCCTGGGGTGATCACTGTGTGGCATTTAGTGGGTATCATTTCGCTACATGTTTTCATACATTTACTCCATATGGAGGATAGATCCATAAATAATGTATGGTATCATTTTGCATGGTTTACATTTTATGTAATGTTACCATACTGATTGTAATTGCAACTAGTTCCCCTCCTACATTATGTTTTTTTTTTTTTAATTATTCATATTGCTTAATGTTGCTCTAGTTCATTAATTTTCATGGATATATAATATTTTAGTAAAGGAATATATTACAATTTATCTATTTATGTCTCCTGTTGACTGGCATTTAGGTTTTTTACTTTTGTAATCACAACTAATGTTGCTGTGAACATTATTATAAATTTCATTGGACACACGTGAGAGTGTTTCTATAGTATATACCCAGAACTAGAATTACTTGGTGGTAGGGTATGTGCATCTTCCCCTTACTGTGTACTGTTAAATTGCTCTTCAAAGTAGTTGTTCAAATTTACATTCCCACCAGCTATATTTGTAAGTTCTTGCTTCTTGTAAGTTCTTGCTTCTCCCATATACTTGCCACTGTGTGGTATAAGCATTTTAATTTGGCCAGTCTGGTAAAATGGTATCTCATGTAGTTTCATTTGCATTTTCCCGATTTTAGTGAGGCTGATCATGTTTGCATATGAATATTGGCTATTTGGGTTTCCTCTTTTGTGAATAATTTATTCATATTCGTGTCTCTGTTTCAATTAAATTATGTAAGTTGATTTTCTTTTCCTTACTGTTTTTCAGGCTTCTTCATATATTCTGGATGTGGATCTTTTGTGAGTTTTATGCAATGCACATGTTGTTTCCCAACCAACGGCATCTTTTTTTGCTTTGTAGTCTTCTTTTTCTTAAATGAAAGTTTTACATTTTAATATAATCTAATTTATTAACTTCTTGCTTTATAAGTTGTACTTCTGTGTCTTTCTTAAGGAAAAATCTGCCTTAAGGATACAGAGCAATAGAAATATTTTCCTGTATGTGTTTTTCTAAAGGTTTTAAAGCTTTGCTTTTAAATTTGTTGTTGTTGTTGTTGTTTGGTGCCATCAAGCCTACTCTGACTCATAGTGACCTATGTACAACAGAACGAAACACTGCCCAGTCCTGTGCCATCCTCACAATTCTTGCTATGCTTCAGCCCATGGCTGCAGCCACAGTGTCAATCCATCTTGTTGAGAGTCTTACCCTTTTTCTCTGACCCTCCACTTTACCAAGCATGATATCCATCTCCAGAGACTGTTCCCTTCTGACCACATGACCAAAGTCAGTGAGATTAAGTCTGGCCACTCTCACTTTTAAAGAGCATTCTGGCTATACTTCTTCCAGGATAGATTTGTTCATTCTTCTGGCACTCCATGGTGTTTTCCGTATTCTTCACCAACACCACAATTCAAAGGCATCAGTTCTTCGTTGGTCTTTCTTAGGTGACTCTGCTGGTATTTAAATACTAGTGGCATAGCCTCCAGCCTCATAGCAACACATAAGCTGCCACAGTATGACAAACCTAGGTGGACTTTATTTTGTAGAAGGTATGAGAGCGCAATCTAATTTTATTTTTCTCATATGGTCAAATACATGAGATTTACAATTATAATCCTGTTATATAACATGTTTTCACATATAAATGCATCTGTTTCTGGGCTACTTGTTGAAAATATTTCTAATTGGACTATATGTATGCCAATGTTGTTATTTGCCGTCGAGTCGGATCTGACTCATAGTGACCCCTCCTTGCGTTTCTGAGGCAGTATCATTACGGAAGTAGGATTGCCCAACCTTCCTTCCGAGGAGTGGCTGGTGGGTTTGAACCACCACCCTTCTGGTTAGCAGTCAAATGCCTTAGGCACTATGCTACCAGAGCTCCCTGTATGCCAATATCACACTTTTATTTACTATGTCAAATAAATTTTGCCATCTAAATAGGGACAGGTCCTTCCATCTTGTCCTTTTTCAAAACAGACTTGGCTACTCTTGACCATTTGCTCTTCCATATAAATGTTTGACTACAAAAGTCCTACTACTCAAATTTTAACTGGAATTTCATCGGATTGAAAGATTAATTTGGAAAGACTTATCAAATTAATGATATTGAATCATTCCACTCATGAACATGGCATAGCCATCCTCTGATTCCTTTCAATTCAGATTTATAATTTTCTATAAATACATTAAGGTATTATAGTGGCATAGTGGGTAAGGCATTTAGCTGCTAACCAGAAGGTCAGTGGTTCAAACCCACCAGCTCTTCTGTGGGAGGAAGATGAGGCAACTACTTCTGTAAAGATTTATGGCCTTAGAAACCCAATGGGGGTTGCTATAAGTCAGAATCAACTAGATGGCAGTGGGCTTGCTTTTTTTTCAGTTATAAGAATCTTACATGTCCTCAATTAGATTTTTTAACAGGCATGTTAAAGGTTTTGTTGGTATTGTAAATGGAATATTTATAAAATTGCATTTCCTAATTGGTGGCTTATGTTGTATAGGAAGATAGTTAATTTTTAAGTACGGGTTATGTACCCAGTAAGTTTATGAACTTTTTTTTGGCTTCTGTTTATCATTAAAAACTCTTAAATATTCTATATAGGCAATCAAATAAACTGCAAGTAATGACAAGTTTTTCCCTTCTTTTCTAACCATCATACATTATATTTCTTTTCATTGCTTCATTGTCCTATCTAGGACTTCACAATGCTTAAGATAGTCCTATCTTATTTTTCAAACAGTTCACCTTTAAATATGATGTTTGCTGTAGGTTTTTGGCTGTACTCTTCATCAGTTTAAGGATGTTCACTTATATTCATAGTTTGACAAGTCTTTTAGAAGCATAGATAGATGTTTGTTATTAAATGCTTTTTATGCATTTAGTGAGATGACCATAAACCTTTTCTCTTGTAATCTCTGAATGTGGTGAATCACCTTAATTCATGAAATCATTTTTTTTTTAAATATGGACCATTTCAGATACACAAAAGGACATAAAGAATAATATAGTGAACACTCACGTTACCTACTACTTAGCTTATGAAATAAAATGTTATGGACCTTTTTGAAGCTCCTACCCTTGTACAGCTTTCTCTAATTCTGAGTCACCATTATCCTAAGTTTGGTCTTTATTTTTTCCATAGCTTTTTTCTTTTATTGTGTATTAATATACAGTAAATATTTTTCTAATGATAAATTAGCCTCAAACTCTTGAATCAAATCCAACTATAGTATATCCCTATGAGTTGGAATTGATGGCGGTGCGTTTGGTTATGCCATGACATCACATAACATTTTAGTGATCTTATGATCATAATGAAAAATTTCTAAAACACAAACTAGGATGAATGCAGTTTTTATTCTTCCTTGAACTATGCTATTATTCAAACCTTAGGGGAAAAATGGGTCTACTGCATTCTTTTCTTTCAGTTTTTTAAAATTCTTTCTGAATTGGTTTTGGTATTAAATTTTTCTAACAAATTGTGCATTTTGTTCAAATTTTCAAATTTATTAGTCTAAAGTCATTCAAAGTACTCTCCTATTATCTTAAAATACCTTCTACACCTATAGGTATGTCCCCTTTTCATTCCAAATATTATTTTCTCTATTTTATGCCTTCATTTTTTTAAGTTTATCATTTGGAGATTTGTTTATTCTGTTAATCTATTTTAAAACAAAACAAAAACTTCAGCTTTTGTTGTTTCTCTCCATTCTATCTCTGTGATGACTTTTGTTTTAATTCATGTTTGCTCTTTTTCATTTCTTTTTCCTGTTTTTGATTTCCTTTATAGTTCATTTTCTATCTTCTTGACTTGAGACATATCAGACTCAGGAATTATATATGCTTGAACTTCAAACTTACTTGAGGCAGAGCCTAGAACTTCAAATCTTCAGAGAAATCCCTGTTTTTTCTACCTAGAATCCAGGCTACGGTAGGTGAACTTCCCTAACATCTCCCTGTTTCAGTGAGTAGATTTCACTCTGGTTCACCTTTCCACCATTTCATGTTGGGGAGGTACTTAGGTTCACATTCACACTGCAAGGTCATAGGACCTGGACTTCTTTTTGTTACAACCTCCTTCATTCCTCCACTCCAGCACTGTAGCCTCAGGTTTGTTTCTGGCCCTAGGAGAATGCACTCATCTCCATCAACCTCAGGTATCTATTTTAAAAGATGTATGTTACATTTTATATAGGTGGGTTTCAGGCTATCTGGACTACATCAACAGCTCTGGAAGTCCCAAAAACATGATATTGACTATATTTAACATGTCCTTACTTCTAGAACTCAAATGCACAGAATTGAATGGGTTCTGTTTGCTTTTTTTCAAACACATTCTCGGAATCATCAAGTTATGCAGCATGGAAATTCTCAGACAAGAACTATGTGAATCGTTCATTTAAGCCCTCTCTCTACTAAATTAATGATGTTCCCTATTTTCTACTTTTAGGTAGAATTTCAAGGTCAAATCTCACAACTAAATTATTTTTCTGTTGTATCAAATGAAAATCTCAAAACAAAGCCAAATTTTCATGGTTTTGAGATTTTTATAATCACACTTCCCATCAAATTACTACAGGCACTTCTTTTGGAATTGGAGTCATCCTGAGATGATTTGGCCCTATTCCCAGTCAAAACTCTGACCTTACTCAGATTTCATTTATTACCTCATTCCTTTGAGGTACTAATACTGTAAAGAAAGCAAGGCAAATCCTTGGTGATCCAGATCATATGAACTTGGTTCCAAACTTGCCATTTAAGTTTTGGGACTAAGACCTAGCACACGCAACCCAAGTTGTATCATATATTGTGGGTAGTTTTGAGGACTAATTTTCAATTGTCACTTGTGCTTCAGACAAGTTTCGTGCATAAAATAATGAACAGTAATGTTAGTATTTAGAAGCAATTATAAAAGAGACCAGGAAACAACACTTGTAAATTACCAGGTTATTTTGCACCACGAAGACCTCAACATTTGTTCAATTATCAGCTATTAGCTTTTGACTCCTGATTTCTCTTTTATTTAAATCTTTCACAGACTTACATCAAACACAGACTTACATCAAACACATGATAATGTTCACCTTTCTTCAAATTCCTCATATTGCTTCAAGGAAAAGTCTCTCTAACCAAATGTAAAAAAGAAAATCTCCTCCAATTTGAATATGTTTATTCAAAAAAGAAAAACCTCTAATGTGTAATATGTTTATTTTCTTTGAATCATGAAGTAATTTATCTTCAGGCTAATGACTCTGTGACAATTCCCATTCTGTACAGTTAAACTATAAGGCTGCTGGCATAATAGGGACAGCAGAAGAATTTATTCAAAGGGTTCAATTCCCCTTGACTCTTGCCTTTGAATTCTACCTCTTTGTTTCCAGCTGGGGCACTATGCTGTCATGCTGCTATCTGACCAAGACAGGCATCAAGGAAAAAGATCCTTCTTCATTCATTGGTTTCTCCAGAAGAGAATTTTATCAGGGGACTTGGTGCTCCTGGGGTAATCACGATAAAACAGATATTTGTAAAGGAAGCATTATTGGTAAGATTTCCCATCATTTGTATAATGCAGACTACAGTTGTTGTCGTTGTTATATGCCATCGAGTCAGACCCAACTCATAGTGACCCCTCCTTGGTTTCCAAGGTGGTATCACTATGGAAGTAGAATGCCCAATCTTCCCTCCGAGGAGTGGCTGGTGGGTTTGAACCGCCAGCCTTCTGGTTAGCAGTCAAATGCCATGGCCACTATGATACCAGAGCTCCTAATAGAGACTACTACATCAGCTTATTTTCAAGAGAAATGTATTTAAAAGCAAAATTATTTGAAAAATAATATAATCTACATTATGGAATTCTATAAAATTGAGATATTTTATCTCAATATTTTCAACATTGACATGAGTTGACAGTGTTACATTCCATTTTATAGAAGCCTAAAAAAATAGAAAAACCAAAAAACAAACTCACTGCCATCGAGTCGGATCCGACTCATAGCGACCCCTCCTTGGGTTTCCGAGGCAGTATCACTATAGAAGTAGATTGCTCAACCTTCCTTCTGAGGAGTGGCTGGTGGGTTTGAACCACCAGCCTTCTGGTTAGCAGTCAAATGCCTTAGACACTACGCCACCAGAGCTTCTAACAAAATAGAGAAAGGAGAAAATATCTGAAATTATAATGAGCAGCTTTATATGTAACTTGTAAATATTTTTGCTTAAAAAAAAAAAGCACTTCGATAAAGCAGGATTTGTTGTGATAAACTAGAAACTTGGCCACTGATATAGCAATAAAGCTGATTATTAATTTTTATGCAAAACCTGATTCTATTTAATAACCATTGTTGTTGTTGTTGTTATGTGCCGTCGAGTCAAACCCGACTCATAGCGACCCCTCCTTGGGTTTCCAAGGCAGTATCACTACGGAAGTAGGATTGCCCAACCTTCCTTCCGAGGAGTGGCTGGTGGGTTTGAACCGCCAGCCATCTGGTTAGCAGGCAAGTGTCTTAGCCACTATGCTACCAGAGCTCCCTAATAACCATTAGGATCTGTGATTCTCTATAAGCTTTTCAAAACGAAAACGAAAACCAAACCAAACTCACTGCAATTGAGCCAATTCCAACTCATAATGTCCCCTTTTGGGTTTCCAAGGTGGCAAATCTTTACAGAACTAGATTGTCTGGTCTTCCTTTTGCGGAGTGTCTGGTGGGTTTGAACCTCCAGCCTTTGGTTAGGAGTCAAATGCCTTAGGCACTACATCACCTGAGCTTCTTAAGTTTTTCAAAAGATGGTTTACTTATAATTGTTCCTAGATCATTAAATTGATGTTTTTTGGTGGCATGGTGCCTAAGGCATCTGATTGCTCACCCGAAGGCTGGCTGTTCAAACTCACAGCTACTTCTTGGAAAGAAGATTTGGCAATCTACATCCATAGACATACCACCTCAGAAACCCAAGGAGGGATTGCTATGAGTCAGGATGTACTCGATGGCAGGGAGTTTGTTTTTGTTAAGCCCTGCATAAAACATTACATTTATATTATGCTGTATGAGTCCCCAAGAATCACAGCACATCTTAATTGGGAAGCAACTGTGAACTGTAGTCAAGAGCAGAGAGTCTTGACCAGGCTGCCAGGGTTTGAAACATGGCTGTGCTACTTATCAGCACTGAGACCCTGAGCAAGGTATTTAGAATCTTTATGCCTCAGTTTCATCGTCTGTAAAATGGAGATAGAGACACCACTGACTCATAACACTGATATGAAGATTAAATGAGTTAATAAACTTCAAGTACTTAGGACACTGCCTGGCAGACAGTACAGTACAGTACAAACTTTAGTGAATCTTTGATATACTATGACTTTTTAACATAGTCAATCAAATGTTGCTTACCAATCTGGGATCAATTTCTTCATTAAGAACAGCTTCATTCTTTATGAGTGCCACTCGTTGTGCAAATCTGCAGGTAGATATAGATTCCTAAGAAAGCAAAATGTGTCCTTAAAATGTTATGTCATAGAGAGATAATTCTCTCTAGAGAAAACTTAATTTTTGTTCACACACACACAAAGATGCACACCTAAAAAGTGATACGAATAAGATACAATGAGAAAAAGACAAGTCTCCAAATTAGGGAGCTTTGCTCTAGAACATTATATTTTATCAAATATTTGTTTTGGTTGAATAAAAGATAACACAATTGTGGTAGATCCAGAGGCCCTAAGTAGCAGCTGGTATGTGTTTTCCAACCACTGGTCTATTAAATTAAAATATCCCTAAAAAACAAACCCACTTCCAACTAATAAATTCTGGCTCATAGAAACCCTACAGGACAGAGTAGAAGTGCCCCAAAGGGTTTCCAAGGCTATAAATCTTTACAGAAGCAGACTGCCTCATCTTTCTTTTGCAGAATGGCTGTTGGTTTACAACCACCCACCTTTTGATTAGCAGCTGAATGCCTTAACCATTGTGCCACCAGAAATACATTTAAAATCATAATCCTAGTGGGCACCATAATCCCAAAACATAAGACACTACCAAATAAATACCTGTAACAAAAGGAAAGGTTTTTCAAAGCATCTTACAATGCACTTAGGACTTGGCCTTATTTTGAGAAGCCCCCTGGTGCTTCCTGCTTTCCATTCTTTTGCAGAGCTTCTGGATCCCAAACATTAAACTGAAGTATGTGAAACACCAGCTAGCCCTAAAGCCACCCAGGAAAGTCATTCTACTGCCAGGCTCTGCCAATGCAGCCTGGGTGCTTTGCCCAGTAACATGCCTAGATAGTTTGAATGTCTTCAAACTACCAAGATTTTAGAAATCAGGAGCAAAATTGGGCAGGAGAAGCTGATAGGTCATCTTTCTTATTTCTTTGGCTGAGGTAAATAAGCCACCAGCAGACCTTCCACAATCTGTGTGTGACGTTTCTTCAAACTATCCTGTGCTACATGAAGTCAGTTCTCAAATGAGGCTATTATAATGCTGGCAAATAATCCAAAGCTGTAATCTCTACATGGTATTTACCTCTAAAGGCTTATCCCAGCCAAGCTGAAAAGGTGGAACCCAACCAGGACCCTCAACTCCATCTCATACATTAGCAATAAAAACCCAGACCAGAAAAACAAACAAACAACGTACGTCGACGTTCCTCTTTTCTAAAGAGAGTGTTGCGATCATGGTTGTCATGCAGTTCCCTCCTAAACTGTCCCTTAGGACACTGGTCATCATGGAATTCCTATAGGGGATGTGTGAGCGGTGCTTTTCTGAAAGGGCAATGATAACCTGTGGTAAAGTAGAAAAATAATGGAATTACTTAGCAGAAAACACACATCTGACAAACAACTGAGCTGCAATTGCAATAAAAATACAAAAAGAAAAAATAACTAAATACAGAGTGACAACCAAAACTCCGGCTCCTGCTCCGACATGCCGAGCTTGTCCCCACCTCAGAGCCTCGGAACATGTTGTTCTTTCTACCTGGATTTCTCTTGCCCCAGATTTCACATGACTTCCTAATTCCCATCATTCAAACTTCTGCCCAGCTTTTACCTCCTCACAGGCTTTTTCCTAAATGCTCTAGCAAAAATAACACACGTGTCCCCAGCCTGATACACTATTTTATTTTTTTTCTAGTATCCATCACTATTTAAAATCACTTATTTCATGAGATTAGAATGCCTGTGTATCTCACAGAAATGTTTTAAGGATCAAAAGGGACCTTTTCCAGATGTTTCTTAGTAAAACAAAACAAAACAAAACAAATGCTCTCAGTGTTGTGGAGGGGTGCTTAGACAATTTTATTTAGGATCTCTTTGGAGGCTGGTTTCAGGCACATAAACCAGCCCAAGACCATTACTTGGATCCACTATCAATGTCCATGGAAGCAGCAGTCAAGAAATAAAGCAATGTATTGCATTGGGCAAATCTGCTGCAAAAGACCTCCGTGTAAAGCGTTTAAGAGCAATTATGTCACTTTGAAGACTAAGGTGCACCTGACCCAAGCCATGGTATTTTCAATCACCTCATATGCACATGAAAGCTGCACAATGAATAAGAAAGACCACAAAAGAAATGATGCATTTCAATTATGGTTGGTGAAGAATACTGAATGTACCATGAACTGCTAGAAGAACAAACAAATCTGTCCTGGAGGAAGTACACTCGGAATATTCCTTAGAAGCGAGAATGGCCAGACTTTGTCTCTCGCAATTTGGTCATGCTGTCAGAAGGGACAAGTCCCTAGAGAAGAATATCATGCTAGGTAAAGTAGAGGGTCAGCAAAAAAGGGGAAGACTCATGGAATTGACACAGTAGCTGCAACGATGGGCTCAAGCATGGCAACAATTTTGAGGATGGTGCAGGAGCAGGCAGGGTTTCATTCTGTTATACATAGGGTCACTAGGAGTCAGAACTGACTTGATGGCACCTGAAAACAGGCCATTTCTTTCAAAGATGACTCAGAACAGGTATCTTACCAGGTCCAAGGATGATACAGGGAAAATCATAATAAGCCCCGGCCACCTGGAGCAAATACAAATCTTAAGAGTGCCCCTGCAATGCCAGGTGTTTGGAAGGAAGGCAGAGGTGAAGTCACTTTGTGAAGCTACTTTGGACTCCTTAACGTGGGCAGGAACCAAATTATCTTCTGATTGGTACGGGGTAAGGAGGTGGTCACAATTTTTTTTTCTTTTTAACGTTTACTTCCATTTTGATTTCATGTTTACATTCAATGAAAAATGTTTCTGAAGCCACTCTTTAAGAGTAGAACCTCATAGTATGTTTAATAATATCTCCACATATCTAGAGACTGTTGCTTGGAACCAGTAATTCAGTTTACTATTTAGTGAGCTGAAGAGATTTTCTTTGAAGGAGTTGAAAAGGATACAGAAAATTATCCTCTGAAAACTGACAAAAATTTTCGGAGTGGTTACAACTGGCACTAGAACCATCAGTTTTTATTCCATATACAACACAGTCAGTGGAGCCAAGTGGAAACTGACACTCAGAGAAGTTTCACTTATGTTGGAGAACCAACTAAAATCAGCCTCATTTCTGATTTGTGAAGAGGTAAGAGAACAAACACTGTCCATTCTGTGGTTTCTCACTTGATATTTGGGCTGATAGAAACCGCAGATCACACCAGGGGCACTTGGGGAAGTTTAGTTAGAACAAGCATGCATGTCTCTTTCCTTCTTCTCCCATGGACTCAGCTTCCAGTGCCAAGATGCACCCTGTCATTGTGGCTTAAAATGTTTTTGAGTTAAGTTTTTGGAAAAAGTACTACATGCACAAGGAGGACTCCAAAACCAACAACACTCTGGCAAACAGAAAAATATTTACTTATGAGCACAATAAGGTGCATTCATTCAACTCAGAAAAGGCTGCACCCTGCTAGCAGGTGTGAGGTCTCACAATTATGGCCAGAAGAAAAACTGCAGCTCAGCAGGGAATTTCTATAACTAATTTGTGCTAATTAATGGAAGACAGGTTACCGAGCAATCTATTTCCAATTTCATCTTCAAGATATATATTGAAACTGACACAAAGAGAATACAATTAATTATTGACACTTTACATGGATTTTGATTACTGCATTTACCTTACTGAATTGCATTTATTTGTTTATATGCTTTGCTCTTTCCCTGGGTACTGTGGTAGCACAGACTGTTCCCAATCATACATTTATTCCCATTGTCTAACATAGCTCATAGCACCCAGGGGACAGTCAATCACAATTTGTTGAATGAATAAATGAAGGAATGAAGCTAATTAAGCTAAATTGTGTTACACTCTCAGTCTCATTAGCTACACAATATTATATAAAGAGAATTTAATTATCAAAGCCCTTCAATTCTGTTATGTCATTAAGTACCTGCCCACTCTTTTTTATTATTCTTGTCCATATGTGTTTGTTGGTTCTCTCTCACTCATCCATTTCTGTCAGTTCTGAATCCCACAATTTCTCTTCTATCTACCTTCTTGCTCCCTAGCAGCTATACTCAGATTTCCTCAACCACAAATCTAAGCCTACGTCATAGCCATGTTCTTTTTTCCTCTCATGCTAATCTCTCTCCACTAGCCTATGCTGTAATCTCAGTCTTTCCTATGAAGACACCTGAGTATAAAGAGTTGAAACTGCAGTGATTCAGGGAGTGAATATGAAACAGGTACATTAATTCAGAGAGCCCAGGATCAATGGCCTTGAATGTCTTTGAGACCTTGAATGGAGTCAATCCCCCTAGGCTGGCACTATAGGCTGACATGCTCACTCAGCCTGATCAGTTCCTGCTGCCTGACGTGTTCTCACCCCTCATCCGGGTCTGGTATACTCCCACTCATTTTTAAGGATCTGTTTAATATATGTTCTCAGTTCCCTCAGTCTTGGTCAGACCCTCCTCACTCTTTACTTTCTCTTCACAGCTCTCACCTGGATTCCAGCTACGTATTTATGTTACCTTATTTAATGCATGTCTTTCTACAGTGAACCATGAGATCTTTGGGGCAAGGACTGTTTCTATTTTGGTCACCACTAGGTTCTAGGGCTAGCACTTGGTACATTACACTTACCTACTTCCATTGAGTTGATTCTAACTCATAGCAACCCCCATTGGGTTTCCAAGGTGATAAATCTTTACAGAAGTAGATTGCCCCAACTTCCTTCCACAGAGTGGCTGGTGGGTTTGAACTACCAACCTTCTGGTTAGCAGTCAAATGCCTTAGGCACCACCCCACCAGAGCTCCTTTGGTACATTATATTGTTAAAAAAATTAGTTATATAGAATAAAATATAGATATATAAATGCTAAACAAATATATAGAATAAAAATAAAAGTTGCATTATATATTTATATAGGAATATATTTTATTCTATATTCTGGTAGCATAGTGCCTAAGGCACTTGACTGCTAACCAGAAGGCTGG